CTGCTGACAGATGGGCAGTGGGTGGACATGAGAGGCACTGGCCGGAATGGAATTGTTCTGCATGGAAGGCAGGGATTTTGCCCCCCAACCACCAATGTGTAGGAGTCCCTAGAATGTTTTCATTTCCTCTGAAATCAGAAGAAAGGATAAATGCAGTAAGAGTGGACATATGATCATGAATCTAGCTGGATTAACATCAAAACATACAGTATCCTGTTAAAGGTTGAGAGTTTTTCTGGTTAATGTTGTTGTTGTTTGATTGTGGTGAATACATACATAACAAAACACCTGCCATCGCAAGATTTCTACACGTACAATTCAGTCATATTTGTCTATGGAGGAAAATCATAGTGGCGAAAGTTCGAATGCTACTCTGTGTTCATGGTAGACCAGGGCTGGGCTATACAATAAGCAAAGCTTACTTGTTGATCTGTAGTGAACAATTTCACACATGCTCACTGTGCTTCAGTGAATCTCCTGACACTGCTTCAGGCCTTTGTTCATGCTGTTCCCCTCTACCTTGAATGCCTTTCTGTACCCCACTCACCACCCCACCTGGCTGACTCCAACCTGCCTTCAGAAGCCCCTTCCTCTGGGTTAGCAAGGGGTTCTCATGACTCCCACCCCCTCCCTAACAGGGTGTCTGTTTGTGACAATGACACTGGTAGTGTCTCATGCCTCTTCAGTGCCCCCTCAGTTATAAACACCCGGGGTGGGGGAAGCCTTCACTTGTTCTAGGGTCACCCTGTATTCCCCAAGGATCTGGCACACAGTAGGTACAGAGCATCTTCCTTGGACTGCAGATTAAGGGTGACACTCTCCCCCACCCCCCAGGCTGTCCTGGTCCTGCTCCAGGTGCACACCTGCTCCAGGAAACAGGAACCAGTCCGCAAGAGTGGCCCCGCCCCACTGACGTAAAGACCCTGAACTGAAACTGAGGGCTGGAGTGGGTCACAGTCAGCGAAGGTCTCATCATCCGGGCTTCCCAGGTATGTGGTTAGGGGTGGGAGGCTCAGCCTGGACCCCTCTGTCAGGAACACCATAAAGCCACACATGCTGCGGTCTCCACAGCCTCAGAGAAGGAGCCGGGCTAGGTCAGAGTAAGGATGGTGCTGGTGTAGACCACAGGGCTCAGGGATGCTGGAGCCAGAGTGGGCAAAGAGAGAGCCTGGCCAGCTCTGAGCAGAGCAAAGCTGTCCTTAGGACTGGTTATAGGAGAAGAGGAGATGGGGAAAGGCCCCGTGGCAGAGTCAGGATTTGAACTTACAGTCAAGCAGTTGATGGCTAGTTGTGAGGTTGGAGGTTCAAACCCATCCAGAAGCACCACGGAAAAAAAGCATAGCTATGTGCTTCTGAAAGCCCACAACCTTGAAAACCCAGTGGAGTACCATTCTGCTCTGCACACATGGGGCTGCCCATGTCAAAATCTAACAACAAATGGGCTCATTCACCTGGTTTGGAACTTCTGTTGTTATTAAATGCTGTTGATTCGGTTCCAACTCATAGCCACCCTGTATAGGGTTTCCAAGGAGCTACTTGGTGAGTTTGAACCGCCTACCTTGCAGTTCAAACAGATCTTGTGGTCGAGTGCTTATCCTACAGCACGAGGAGTCCTGGCCTGGAACTCGATCATCATTTATCAGCAAACATCCTGCATCCTCTTCTGTACCTGCCCTGAATCATGAGATGCTTGGGATCCAGAAAGAACCTCCAGCCTGAGAGAGGGTTGAATCAGGAAGGAAGGGAGGAGTTTGGGGAGGTGGGGGGGCAGAAGGGAGCCAGGGCTTAGTCTAGGGAGAGAGACAGGAAGTCAGCGTGGACAAAAAACCAAAACCACTGCCGTTAAGTGTATTCCAACTCATAGCAACCCTATGGGGCATTTCTACTTTATACTTTATAGAAGTGACCTGCCTAATCTTTCTCCTTAAGAGCGACTGGTGGCTTCAAACAGCTGACCTTTCAATTAGCAGCTGAGCATTTTAATTACTTCACCACCTGGGCTCCTTTGACCTGCCTGGAGGAAGGGATATTTTTGCTGGGCTATGAAGGGTGAATAGGAGTTCTCCCAGGTAGATTAAAAACAAGTCTATAGACACGACCAAGCTCCCAGGGTGGTGCAAATGGTTTATGTTCCATTACTAGTTTAAGTTTGGCAATTTAAACCCACCCGTGGATGCTGAAGAAGAAAGACCTAGCAATTTGGTTTTTAAAATTTTTTTAAGTTTTTATTGTGGTTTAAGTGAAAGTTTACAGGGAAGATCATCAGTTTTACATTCAATAAACCATATACTTTGTTTCATGACAATGATTATAATCCCCTCCATGTACCATCAGTTAATAGTATTTCTCTCTACTCATTTTAGCTTTTTTTTTTTTTTTAACCACTCAGGCATATATAATAATTTACACCACCAAAGGGCACATTCTGCAAGTCTGCCTCCTGGCCACCAGCTCTCTCTCAGTCCCTCTCTTTCCATTAATCCAGAGTCCTCAGCTGCTCCCTCTCTCCATGTCCCCATCTCTGCCACCATCTCTGGTGTCGCTGTTTCTCTGGATAAGGTCCCTCATTCTGCTTGTGCTCTTCTCCCTTGATGGTCCTAGGATCCTCAGTTTCTGAACTGTAAGATTAACCACTCCCCTGTTTTTGTTATAAAACTTCTACCTTTACAATTGTGAGAGTCACAATTAGTCATGATGACAATTACTCATTGAATCATAAGAATCCTATCCCCATCTCATTTCACCAGACCTGTCTAAACAAGATGAAAACTATTCAGTGGGGACTCAATCTTCCCACACACACTCTTAAACTAAACTCCCTCTTGAAACCTTGTAAGTCAGTCACTTTGTAGCAATTTGCTTGTGTAAAGATTACAGCCAAGAACAGCCTATGGGACCACTCTGCTTGGGGATGGTAGCATATGAGGTCGTCATGAGTTAGAATCAACCTGGCAGCAACAGGTGTGGTTTTATGAACATTCCCCTGTGGTAGGTCGTGACTGAGTCTGTAAGCATGTAATACAGACACACAGCACTTAGTTTGTAACAACTACTTTCCATTATCCCCAAATTACCACGAGGAAACAGACTCAGAGAGGTTAAGGGATTTGCCCAAATTCCCACAGCAGGTAAGTGGGTGAAGCTGGAATTTAAACCTGGGCCATTTGGGTCCAATTTCAAGCTTGTAATCACTTTGCCAGCCTGTTTTATGAGACATTTCTTAATATAGCCATTGAATTTCACTTGGCTTAGAATCCCCTTGGAGTCTTGGTGTGGTACTGTAGGATAAGCACTGGACTGCTAACCACTAGATTGGTGGTTCAAACCCTCGGAAACCCTATACAGGGTTGCTAGGAGTCCAGACTGACTTGACAACACTTAATAACAACAACAGAATCCCTTTGGGGCGCTCGCGGGAAGGTGGGTTGGTCCTTGGTCTTCTGGCAGAGAAAATCAATACTGACCACAATTGGTCAACACGCCCCTTCCTGGAAGAAACAGCCCAGTAACAATGATCTTTCTTGACTATGAAAATTTAGACACTGTGGGGGAGGACAGGTATGGCACTCCAGTTTGGGGATAGAGTTGAGGGTGAATGCGGAAGGGGGGCTGGTTCACATGTTCAACTCAGCAAGGTACAACTGTTTTTTTCTTAAAGCTGGTTTTACTATGGTTTCATTCTTTTGTACAAATTGGTGTTTTCTTTCTTTAAACCAAATTAAACCAAACCAGTTGCCCTTGAGTTGTAGAACTGCTCCATAGGGTTTTCAATGGCTGGTTTATTTGACGGAAGCAGGTTAACTAAGCCTTTCTTTCAAAGTGCCTCTGGGTGGGTTTGAACTGCTGACTTTTTGGTTAGCGGTCAAGTGCATTAACCATTTTTAACACCCAGGGGCTCTGCCCAGCACACAAAACCCAAACACCTGTGGCTGTTGAGTCAGTTCGGATTCATGCGTGTCAGAGTCGACCTGCCCCATAGGGTTTTCAATGGCTGATTTGGGGAAGCAAATCAGCTCTTCTGAGATATCTCTGGGTGGGCTAGAACCTTCAGCCTTTCAGTTAGTGGTCAAGCACACTTAATCATTTGTATCACTCAGAGGCCTCTTTCTCTAGCTCCATGTAAATGTCTCACAACACCCAATATGACTTTGTTGTTGTTGTTGTCATGTGCTGTGGAGTCGGTTCCGACTCATAGCGACCCTGTACAGGGTTTCCAAGGCTGTAAATCTTTACGGGAGCAGAACGCCTCATCTTTCTCCTGCGGAACAGCTGGTAGTTTCGAACTGCTGACCTTGTGGCTCACAGCCCGATTCGTAATCACTATGCTACCAGAGCTCCTTGAGCCTAAATTAAAACATACAGGACCTGAGTGCCTGACATGCTGAACGCTATCAGTGGCTGCCAGTAGTGCCAATATTGGCGGCAGAAACAACTGCTCTGGCCAACTTTCTCTGGTGTTTAATGAAATGACACAAGACAACAACAACATACCAAGGAATCCTGGTGACACAGTAGGTTAAGCATTGGGCTGTTAACCACAAGGTCAGCGGTTCAAACCCACAGGTAGTCCATGGGGAAAGATGAGGCTATCTGCTCCATAAGGACTTACAGTCTCTCCACAAATATATGAATTTGAAATAGTGTATTTGTATATACACAGGTTGCTGTGGCTCTGTAGGATAAGCACTGGACTGCTAAACACAAGGTTGGTGGTTCTAGCCCACCAGCCACTCACTCCGTGGGAGAAAGATGCAGCTCTCTGCTCCCATAGTCATAGCCTCGGAAATCCTATACAGAGAGGCTATGAGTCACAGCAATCTGCTTGGCATACAGTAGATGCTTAAGAAGCACAAGTGAGTTTTAAGCCCACATTTCTGTCCAGTCTGGAGGATTCCTTGGAGGGAAGCGGCAGCATAAGCCTTAATAAGAGCACAGGTGTTGTGGGGAGACCAGTCTTGACTCTCTCTCTTCCATCTCCCAGGTGCCCCTCCCAGGAGGCCATGACAGAAGACAGGAATCTGTCCCTTCTGGTGCCCCCACGGCTGGACTGGTTCGTGCACACTCAGGTGGGCCAGCTGGCCCAAGACGGGGTCCCCACATGGTTCCACGGTGCCATCTCCAGAGAGTGAGGATATACCCTGCCCTTCACCCTCTTCCCACTGACCCCCATCCCGGGCATGTTTGCAGAACTCGGAGCTTAGCTCAGTGTCTCTGAACTCACACAGACCTAGGGTTGAATCCTACCTCCTCCAAGGACTTTCTGGGTGACTCCAGGCAAGTGACTTCCATCTCTGAGCCTCAGCTTTCTGTATACAAATGCCTACATACTACCAGGAAACTGGCAGCCCACCTCCCTCATCCAGGCCTGGCTTCACTAATCATGATGGCCTCAGAATCTCTCTTAACCCAGTGTCCAGTGTCCCAAACAGCTGCTCTCAGTCTATCAGCAATACAGCCCAGTGTGTTCTTTGTACGTTAGACAAAGGTGGCCTCTGAGGACATTAACAACCCCTCTAGTCAGGAGCCCTCAGGACTAAACAGATGAAGGAAACTACGTTCTGTGCCACCTTCCACATGCAGGAAATTGATAGAATTTCATGCAGGTCATACAGAGGAGGAACTGCAATAGCTTCTGAGCTCAGGGGCAGGGCTGGCCAATAGAACTAATGGAAGCGACACTGTTGTTAATTGCCGTTTAGTTAAGACTCACGGTGACCCTGTATAGGGTTTCCAAGGAGTGTCTGGTGGGTTTGAACTGCCTCACGGTTAGCCATTCAGAGCTTACCCTACAATGCTACACTAGGACTCCTGGCTACATAAGACATTTAAAATATTATAGTAGTACATTGAAAAGCATTTAAAAATGAGTGAAATTATTTTTCATATATCATAATTATTTTCAAGCACTGGACTGCTAACCACAAGGTTGGCAGTTCAAACCCACTAGTCACTGCATGGGAGAAAGATGAGATTTTTGTGTCCCATAAAGATTTATAGCTTCAGACACTGTGAAGGGTTGCTGTGAATCAGAATTTACTCCAAAGTTGTGGGTTTAGGGTTTTATTATTATATACTTTTAAGCTGTATGGATGGCAAAATGGTTTGTTGGCAATCAACTGCTAACCTAAAGGTTGGTGGTTCAAATCCACCCTGCAGTACCTCAGAAGAAAGCCCTGGTGATCTGCTCCCATACAGACTACAGTCAACAAATCCCTATGAAACAGTTTTATTCTCATATATGGGGGCTACCACAAGTCAGAATAGACTGAACAGCCAGGGGTTTGGGTTGGGTTTTGTTTAGCATGTGTTTTGAACATATATTCGTTTAATGGATATTTAGTGTTTCATTGAACCCAGTGTATCCCAAATATTATTATTTCAACATGTTGGAAGGTCAGAGAAAAAGAGGAAGACTCCCAGTGAGATGGATTGGCAAAAGTGACAGCATCAATGGGCTCAAGTGTAACAATTGTGAGGTTGGCCCAGGATCGGGCAGTGTTTCATTCTGTTGTACATAAGGTTGCTATGAGTCGGGACTGACTCGATGGCACCTAACAACAACAACAACAATCAGTACTAAAAAGATATTTGTGAGATATTTTGCATTCTTCTGTTTGCTCCAAGTCTCCAAAATCCACATTTTACATCTCAATTTAGACCATTCACATTTCAAACACTCAAGAGCCACAGGTGAGCCACAGGCCTCCATATTGGGCAATGAGGCCCCGAGACTTCCCAACTTGTCACACAGAAGGTCCTTTATCCTCTAGGAACCCTGGAAAAGAGTAACAATCATGATGATCATAATAAGAATGGCCCCGGGCGGTGCAAACAGCTTGCACTTGTCTGCTAACGGAAGGTTGGCAGTTTGAACCCATCCCACAGCGCTGGCTGTCGAAGCAAAGCCTACAGGTCCGCTCCCACAGAGATGGCAGCCAAGAAAACCCCCCAAGGCTGTTCTGCTCTGTACAACTGGGGTCCCCCTGAGTTGGAATTGAGTCAGTGACAGCAATGACAACAGCAACATATGAGATCACAGAGCCCAGTATCACAGCGTAGATATGTTTCATCCATTCTTGCGTCAGCCCTGAGAAGAAGCTGAGAATCAGAGACGGACAGAGCTGCTCCCAGGATCACACAGCTAATGGACAGCAGAGCCCGATTACAAACCCAAATGGTTTGCTTCCTATGACACCTTGAAGCGGGGGGTATTCATGGGAGGATTTCAGGCACTGAAAAGGCAGTGATGAGAGGTAGAAGTAAATTCACTCTGGGCCAGAGGAAGGTCTTTAGGATCAGCCACCGTCACCTCAGGGGACAGAACATCCCAAAGTCTAAAACAACCAAGAAGAGGAAGGAAAGAAAAACAGATTTCGGTTGCTTGTTCGTTTGGAAGAGTCTCGGGGTGATGCAAATGGTAAATGTGCTCAGCTGCTAACGAAAAGGTTGGTAGTTCAAGTCCACCCAGAAGAAGAAAGGCCTAGAGATCTAGCTCTGAAAAATCAGTCAACGGAAACCCTCTAGAGTGCAATTCTAGTCCGACACACATGGGGGCTCCATGAGTTACTTGACTTGATAGCAGATGGTTTGGCTATTTTTTTTCTTATATCTTTTTTCGAATCTCAGTTAGGAAACCAAAAAGCATTCCCTTTGATGGTGCAGGATTGGGGCACCATCACGGTCATCTCCCTCCTGTGTGTGTCCTTCCAGGGCCGCTGAGAACTTACTGAAGCCACAGCCACCAGGATCCTTTCTCATCAGGGTCAGCCACAGTCACGTGGGCTACACACTGTCCTACAAGTAAGGCCGGGGCCAGGGCAGGGGCAAATGGGCTCTGGGATTTCCTTGGTGGGGGTTAAAGGGTGCTTCATGCCACATGTCAGGGAACCATCATCAGCATGAGGGTCTGGTCAGATCCATCTGAAGAGTGAGTGGCTGCGGGTCAGGCCCTAACCAGCAGTCATGGGTCCAGTTGCAGCTGAGACTCTGTCTCAAGAGAGGAGAAGTTGGGGGTCCCAGAACTCTCACAACCATCAACTTGACTCCACCCCATGGGGATGGGGTTGTTAGGGAGGCCTCCAAACTTGAGCTGACTGACATCTCAGAAGATTCATAACCGCAAACTACTTTTCAAATGCAAATCCAAAAGATTCCTTGCCAAAGGAATAAAAAGCCCAATGGCTCAAGGACAGACTTCACCACAGCAGGGAAAGCTTGGGCCCCAAAGCTCATGGTGACAGGTTCAAGGTTGGACTCTACCACTTAAGTACTGTGTGACCTAGGACAAGTCTCTCATTCTCTCTGATCCTCCCTCAAAGTCCTTATGTCTACTATAGGAATTGTTGTTGTTGTTGTCGTCGTTAAGTACCACAAAGTTGGGTTTGATTCATAGTGCCCCTGTATAGTTTCCAAGGGGCAGTTGGTGGGTTTGAACTACCACCAACATTGTTAGTAGTCCAGGCCTTATCCATGCCAGGACTCCATGTGAGTATTTAATTCAGGAGTCCCTGAGTGGTACAAATGGTTAAGCACTGGACTACTAACAAACCTGCTTTTGAAAGGTCACATACTCTGCACATATGGGTAGCCATGAGTCATAATCAACTCTACAGCAAGTTGTAACTGCAACAAAGATTTAATACAAACTTGATGTGACGATTAAGTGAGATACACAAAACACATCATAGGACATTAATAAATGCATTCATTGACTATGGGAGCATTTATTGAGCCCCTCCTGTGTAGTGGACACACCAAGGTAAGCTTTTGCCTTGTATTCAATCAGCTTGTTTCATCCTCAGAAGAACTCCTTAGGGTCAGAGTTAGCCCGTGGGGGAAACTGAGACACAGTGTGGGATAACACAGCTAGTTAGTGGAGCCGTCAAGATGGGAGCTGCCATGCCTTGATGTTAGCTCAGTAGCTGGGGCGGGGGGTCAAGTGGGAGTGTCGCAGCCAGGCCTTGTTCCAGCAGGGCCCAAGACAGCTACCGCCACTTCATGGTGAAGCTTCTAGACGACGGAAGTTTTGTGATCCCTGGAACGAGGGCAGCCCACACCTCACTGGACGCCCTGGTCACCTTCCACCAACAGGAGCCCATGCAGCCATATGGGGAGCTGCTGACCCAGCCCTGTGGGCAGGTGAGGGACCCAACCAGGGCCCAGTGCCTCTAGGCCCAGGCCCCTAGACCCTTGTCCCACCCACTCTCTGCAGGCGCTGGTGATTCTGCCCCTAAACCCAGTTTCCTAGTCCCTGTCTTCACCCCACTCTGCGTGGACCGTGTGCTTCCCCCACCCCCCCGACACACACACAGAGGCTCCCTATTGGCTTACAAGGGCTGTGGACACAGACGTGAGTGGTGTCTTTAGAAATGCAGTAATGCAGTGGACAGCACGGGGACTAGGGTCAGTGGCGGAAAGCTGCCCTCCATGGCCTGTAGGCGGAGCTTATATCCTTATGAGGAGTAGTTGACGAGGCTTCTTTTTTACAAGAAGTTGTTGTTATCTGCTGTGGAGTTGGTTCCCACTCATAGTGACCCTGTACAGGGTTTCCGAGGCTGTAAATCTTCATGGGAGCAGAAAGCCTCATCTTTCTCTGGCAGAGCAGCTTGTAGTTTCGAACTGCCGACCTTGAGGTTAGCAGCCTGATTTGTAACCACTACGGTACCAGAGCTCCTAACTCGTTTGCTAGGAGCTTTTTAATAGCCTTGCCTGAGGTTAGCGCTCAGAGGACATGGTCTTGACTCTCTGAAGCAGCTGTGGGAGGGGCCTACTTCCTTATAAGGCTTCTTGAGTGGAATACACTTGCTCCCACACTATATGGGCAGGGCATTCCCACGAGTCCCGCCTTCTGGAAGGATCCAGCGACTTTCCCTTTCCTTGGGGCTGAATTACAGGCTACCTATGTCCCACAGGAGGATCCAGAAAACGTGGACTATGAGGATCTCTTCCTTTTCTCCAACACACTGGCTGAGGAAGTCGCCATTCCAGCCCATGGCCGGAAAGAGGACGTGGCAGCAGTGGCTGAGAAGGTACTTACATAGAGGACGTGGGGGGAGGCGGGCATGGAGGGGAGTGGCACCTCTGGCTGGGGGAAGGGGCAGGGAATAAGAGGAGCTAACTGTCAGAAGTCATATTGACTACATCAGTGGAAAGAGACGATGGAATGGGTCCATATCATCAGCCAAAACAAGACCAGGGGCAGATTTTGTGGAACAGACCATCAATTGCTCATATGCAAATTCAGACTGAAGCTGAAGAAAATGAAAACAAATCCTCGAGAGCCAAAATATGACCTTGAATATATTCCACCTGAATTTAGAGATCACCTAAAGAACAGATTTGATACATTAAACACTAAAGATCAAAGACCAGAAGAGTTGTGGGATGACATCAAGAACATCATACAGGAAGAAACCGAAATCATTAAGAAGACAAGAAAGAAGGAAAAGATCAAAATGGATGTCAGAAGAGACATTGAAACTTGCTCTCCAGCGTAGAGATGCTAAAGAGCAAATGGAAGAAATGAGGAGGTATAAGAGCTGCACAGAAAATTTCAAAAGTCAGCTGGAGAAGACAAAGTCAACTATTATAACAAAATGTGCAAAGATCTGGAGTTAGAAAACCAAAAGGGAAGAACATGCTCAGCATTTCTAAAGCTGAGGGAACTGAAGAAAAAATTCAAGCCTTGAGTTTTGTTATTGTAGGATTCTATGGGAAAATTATTGAATGATGCAGAGAGCATCAAAAAAAATGGAAGGGATATAGAGTCACTGTACCAAAAGAAAATGGTTGATGTTCAACCATTTCAAGAGGTAGCATATGATCAAGAGCCAATGATACTGAAGGGAAAAGTCCAAGGTGCATTGAAGGAATTGACAAAGAACAAGGCACCAGAAATTGATGGTATACAAATTGAAATCTTTCGACAAAGTGAGGCTGCACTGGAGGCACTCACTCATCTCTGCCAAGAAATTTGGAAGACAACAATGTGGCCAACTGATTGGAAGAGATCCATATTTGTGCCCATTCCAAAGAAAGGTAACCCAACAGAATGTGGAAATCATTGGATAATATCTTTGATATCCCATGCAAGTAAAGTTTTACTAAAGGTAATACAGAAATGGCTGCAAGCATACATTGACAGAGAACTTCCAGAGATTCAAGCTGGATTCAGAAGAGGATATGGAACATGGAATATCATTGCTGATGTCCAATGGATATTGGCTGAAAGCAGAGAATATCAGAAAGATGTTTACCTGTGCTTTATTGACTACACAAAGGCTTTCAACTGTGTGGCTTATGACAAGCTATGGATAACATTGCGAAGTATGAATATTCCGGAACACTTAATTGTGTTCATGAGGAATCTGTACATGGACTAAGAGGCAGTTGTTCAAACAGAACATGGAAACACTGAATGGTTTAAAATTCAGAAAGGTGTGCTACAGGGTTGTATTCTTCCACCATATTTATTCAACCTGTATGCTGAGCAAATAATCCAAGAAGCTGAGTTCTAGGAAGAAAAACATGGCATCAGGATTGGAGGAAGACTCATTTACAGCCTGTGATATGCAGATGATACAACCTTGCTTGCTGAAAGTGAAGAGGTCTTTAAATATTTACTGATGAAGACCAAAGACCACAGTCTTCAGTATGGATTGCATCTCAATGTAAAGAAAACAACAATCCTCACCACTGGACCAATAAACAAGATTCTTATCAACGGAGAAAAGATTGAGGTTGTCAAGGATTTCATTGTTCTTGGATCAACCATCAGCACTCATGAAAGCAGCAGCCAAGTAATCAAATGACGTATTGCATTAGGCAAATCTGCTGCACAAGACCTTTTTAAAGTGTTGAAGAGCAAAGATGTCAGCTTGAGAAGTAAGGTACGCCTGACCCAAGTCATAGTATTTTCAATAACGTCATATGCATGCGAAATTTGGACAGTGAATAAGGAAGCTTGTAGAAGAATTGATGCATTTGAGTTATGATGTTGGAGGAGAATATTGAAAGTGCCATGGGCTGCCAAAAGAACAAAACAGTTCTGTGTTGGAAGAAGTGCAGCCAAAGTGCTCCTTGGAGGCCAGGATGGCCAAACTTCATATCTCATACTTGGGACATGTTGTCTGTCAGGAGGGACCAGTCACTGGAGAGGGAAATCATGTTTGGTATGGTGGAGGGTAGGAGAACAAGAGGAAGACCCCCAGCAAGATGCATTGGCAAAACGGCAGCATCAATGGGCTCAAGCATGGCAACAATTGTGAGGTTGGTCCAAGACCAGGCAGTGTTTCATTCTGTTGTGCATAGGATTGCTATGAGTCGATACTGACTCAATGACACCTAACATCAACAACAACAGCTGTTAGAGGAGACTCTTCCAGAATGAGGATAGGATTCTGTGGCTCGGTACTTAACCAACTGCCACTTATTTCCTGAGGCATCAAAATTAAACTCCAATCTGCAATGTCAGTTCCTCCCTCTCCCCATTACCCACCAGTTCAGTACCTCTACCATCCTTCTTTTACCTGGGTGTATCAAGTCTGCCTCAGGATCTTTGCATGTGCTGTGTGTGCTCTGCTCCTAGATTGACCATACTGAGCTCCTTCCTTTTATGGTAAGTGTCTCAATCCCCAACTGCAACATCTAAAGTAACCCTCCATGTCCCCATCACATCACCATGTTCACTTGCTGCAGCGCTCTGTCTGCAATTGGAAATGGTTCTGCTGGTTTAAGAGTTTCATGTTTCTTGTCTGCTTCCCCACTCAGATGGTAAGCTCTGGGAAGACTGGAATTCCATCTAACTTGTTCACCGCTGCTTCCCCCGCCCCTCAGAGAGGAGCTGACATACCCAAGGTGCTCCTTCCATGAATCTGCTGAATAGCTAAGTGAATGAATGAACTGTTCCAAAGCTGCTTGAGGCAGGGCATGCCAGAGAACTTCTAATGATGGTGGAGCTAACAGGAGTGCAGGTGGGCAGGTGCATCAGGAAAGGCCTGCACAGGAGGTGACACCAAGCTGGGATATGCACGGTGAGGAGGAACTGACCAAATGTTCATTCCCAGCGAGAGCATTGCAGGCAGAGGGAATAGCATGTACAAAGGTCTTGAGACTCTTTGTGTGAGAGGAGCGAAGTACAAAAGCCAGTGCAATGAGTGAATGACAGAGATTGTTGGGAGGTGAGTGGTCAAGTTCAGAGGGGTGGGTTATACAAGGATTTGGGGGCCCAGGGGAGGAGATGAGATTCTAGTCTAAATATGCTGGGAGGGTGTGGGAGAGTTTGATGGTGACTGGACTGATGGAGTTAAATGTTTTCTGTGGCTGATAGTGATGGGGCTAAGGTGGCAGGGAGGAGTTGTTGTTGTTAGGTGCCATCGAGTCGGTACCAACTCATAGTGACCCCGTGCACACCAGAACGAAACACTGCCCAATCCTGGGCCAACCTCACAACTGTTGCCATGTTTGAGCCCATTGATGTTGCCACTTTGCCAATCCATCTCGCTGGGGGTTTTCCTCTTTCTCTGACCCTCCAGCTTACCAAACATGGTATCCTTCTCCAGCGACTGGTCGGTCTCTCCTGACAACATGTCCAAAGTATGAGAGACGAAGTCTGGCCATCCTGGCCTCCAAGGAACACTCTGACTGCATTTCTTCCAACACAGATCTGTTGGTTCTATGGGCAGCCCATGACACTTTCAATATTCTCCTCCAAACACCATAATTCAAATGCATGGCAGGGAGGAAACACTATCCAAATGGGAGGTGGTGGTGGCGTGGACCAACACCCTGTGGCTGGAGAGAAATGTGGGTATCTAGAACATGTTTTAGAAGGAGACGTGCTGATGGTTTGGAGCAAGAGGGACATTGTTGTGGTCTGTATCCCCTGGAAGCTGTTGATCTCAGCTCATAGTGACTGCAGGTGTTAGAGTAGAACTGCTTCATAGTGTTTTCTTGGCTGTGATCTTTGGTCCTCTTGGTTATGTGATATTTGTTGTAAAAACAAATGGTGGTGATGATTACATGCCATTGAATCGGTTCCAACTCATAGCAACTCTGTATAGGGTTTCCGAGGAGCAGCTGGTGAGTTTGAACTGCCAACCTTGTGGTTCAAACTGACCTTGCTTTATCCTACAGCACCACACCAGGACTCCATACATGAATAGGTAACTTCATACAAAGACAGTTGTCAGTTGTTAGAGCAACACTAGTACTTTTGCTTCTGGATGTATTTTTATAGCCAGCCTGCATACGGGAAAGGTTTGAATTCTTGGAGAAGTCTCTCAGTTTAGTTCAGAAATGTTCTAGCAGCTGTGGGAAACAAACGTGCACTGTTTTCATTCTTAGAAGGCCTCTTCCTATTCTGTTCAGTCTCTAACATAAACGTTCTGTTCCCCATTGTCTTGGTTACCTGCTTAAAAGGTCAGCACTCTGAGACGGACTGCTGACTGGTGTAGGAAAGAAAACCTTGCTTCAGAGTTGGGCACATTTGGAATGCCAGCTCTGTCACTTCCTAACTGTGTTACCTGTAGCAAATAATTTAACCTCACTGCCCCAGTTTGCTACCCTGTGGATTGGCTCAAACAGCTGTTTGAGGAAGTTGGGTAATCTTGACAGAAGCATCTAGCCCCACTGAGTCGTTCAAACCACCAACCTTTAGGTTGTTGTTATTAAGTGCTATTGAGTTGATCCTAACTCATCATGACCCTGAGTAAGGTTACCAAGACTTTAAATCTTTACAGAAGTGGGAAGCCTCATCTTTCTCCTGCAGAGCAGCTAGTAGGCTTGACCTGCCGACCTTGTGGTTTGAAGTCCAGTGCTTATTGTGCAGAGCCACTGCATTCTTCTATGTTGTTGTTCTTGTTAGGCACCATCAAGTCAGTACTGACTCATAGTGACCCTATGCACACCAGAACAAAACACTGCCTGGTCCTGGGCCAATCACACCATTATTGGTACACCTAAGTCCATTGCTGCGGCCACTGTGCCAATCCATCTCATTGGGGGTCTTCCTCTTTTTCTCCTACCCTCCAATTTACCAAACATGATACCCTTCTCTAGGAACTGTTCCCTCCTGATAATATCTTCGAAGTATGAGAGACAAAGTCTGCCCATCCTGGCTTCCAAGGAGCATTTTGGATGCACGTCTTCCAACACAGGTCTGTTTGTTCATTTGGCAGCCCATGGGACTTTTAATATTCTCCTCCAACATCATAACTCAAATGCATCAGTTCTACGGGCTTCCATATTCACTGTCCAACTTTCACATTCATTAATGAGGTTATTTGAAAATACCATGGCTTGGGTCCGGTGTACCTTAGTCCAAAAAATGACATCTTTGCTCATCCTTAAAGAGATCTTGGGCCACAGATTTGCCCGATACAATACTTTGTTTGATTTCTTGACTGCTGATTCCATGGGTTTTGATGGTTGAGCTGAGCAAAACGAAATCTATGACAGCTTCAATCTTTTCTCCATTTATATGGATGTTGTTTATTGGTCCAGTGGTAAGGATTTTTGTTTTCTTTACATTGAGGTATAACCCATACCGAACAAAGGCTGTACTCTTGGATCTTTATCAGTACGTATTGTAAATCCTCTTCATTTTCAGTAAACAAGGTTGTATCGTCTACATATTGCAGGTTGTTAATGTGTCTTCTTCCAATCCTGATGCCACATTTATGTTCATATAATCCAGCTTCCCGGATTATTTGTTCAGCATACAAGTTGAATAAGTATGGTAAAAAAATACAACCGTGGCTCACACCTTTCCTAATTTTAAATCATTCGGTGTTTGTTCCCCTGTTCTGTTTGAACAGCTGCCTGCTGGTCTAAGTACAGGTTCCTCATGAACATAATTAAGTATTCTAGAATATTCTCCACAATGTTGTCCATAGCTTGTCATAATCCACGCAATTGAAAGTCTTTGTGTAGTCAGTAAAGTACAGGAAAACATCTTTCTGGTATTCTCTGCTTTCAGTCAAGATCCATCTGACATCAGCAATGAGATCTCTCATTCCATGTCTTCTTCTGAATATAGCTTGAACCTCTGGAAGTTCTCTTGAACCTCTGTCAATGTATGGTTGCAGCTGTTTTGGTATTTATCTTTAGCAAAATTTTACTTGCATGTAATATTGTCCAATGATTTCCACATTCCGTTGCGTCACTTCTCTGTGGAATGGGCACAAATATGGAACTCTTCCAATTGGCTAGGTAGTTGTCTTCCAAATTTCTTGGCATAGATGAGTGAGTGCCTACAGTGTCACATCAGTTTGATTAGAGATTTCAATTGGTATTCCATCAATCCCAGTGCCTTCTTCTTTGCCAGTGCCATCGATGCACCTTGGACTTCTTCCTTCAGGATCATTGGCTCTTGATCATATGCTACCTCTTGAAATGGTTGAACATCAACCATTCCTTTTTGGTACAGTGACTCTGTGTATCCCTTCCATCTTCTTTTGTTGCTCTCTGCATCATTCAATATCTTGCCCATGTTGCTGTTATTGTTAAGTGTTGTCAAGTCAGTTCTGACCCATAGCAACCTTGTATAGGGTTTCCAAGGAGCAGCTGCTGAGCTTGAACCACTGACCTTGCGACTCAAACTGACTTTGCAGTCCAGCACATTGATCCACAGTGCTACACCAGGACCCCATCGAATCCTTCAATATTGCAAGTTGAGGTTTGAATTGCATTCTTCTTTAGGTTGGTTTGAACCGCAAGGTCAGTAGTTCAAGTTCACCAGCCATTCCTTGGAAACCCTATACAGGGTCGCTATGAGTCAGAACCAACTCAACAGCACTTAACAACAACAATATGATAGCGTAAACCACTTTCTAAGGTTCAGTCCCTGGAGAAGAACATCATGCTTGGCAAAGTGGAGGGTCAACAAAAAACAGGAAGCGCAGTTCTACTCTGATGACACTCATGGGATCAACATGCGACAGAGCTTACTTGGCAATTCAGGGCTCATCTAACAGCACCACACCAGGACTGGCTTTCTTATTTTTAAGTAAAGTCTGTGGGAACACATCCAGGTTCATCCATGTACATGCCATCGGTGACTACTTTTGAGCTATAAGGGCAGAGCTGGCCCACAAAGCTGAAAATATTTACTACTTGACCTTTTACAGCAAAAAAATTTCCAGCTCTAGTTGGCGGTTCAAACTCACCCAGGGGTGCGGTGAATGAAAGATTTCTGTAAGAACTACAGCCAAAAAACTCTCTGATGCAGTTCTACTCTGTAACACCTGGGGGCGCCATGAATTGGAGCTGGCTCTTAGACAGCGGGTTTGGTCTGTTGTATGGTCTCAAAGGTGGGGCTGTTTACAAAAATGGGAAGGATGAAGCATGGGATCAGTTTCCGGAGATTATAGAGATGTTTCCCAGCCTCGGTGAGTCGGCGGGTAGGAAGGGGGGTCAGCTGGACAGGAGTGGGGTGATCTCCAAGCCAGACACAGAGGCTCAGCAGGTGTGATGACTTTGGTTTCACAAACTCCTCCTTCAAGCCCACTGAACCCTTTGCTGTCGAGTTGACAGCCACTCATAACGGTCTTATAGGACAGGTTAGAACTGCCCCATAGAATTTCCAAGGCTGTAAAACTTTACCGAAGCAGATCACCTTATCTTTTGTCCGGGGAGGCACTGGTGGATTTGAACCACTGACCTTTCAGTTAGCAGACAAGCACTTAACCATTTCACCACCTGGGCCCCTTTCCTCCTTCTAGGCCTTCCCCAAACAGGGCCTGCTCTACTGGCCAAAGAAAAGGACGTCTTCGGCAGAGGTGGACAGAGTGCCCTCTGGGAATGCTGGCGTCTCCTGCCCCACAAAAGCTTCTCTGGGGGGCACCCGACAAAAACTCTGGAAGAGCCTCAAGACACTCCCTCAAGCCGGCAGGAAGGTCCAGCAACAGCTGAAATCTCATCTCACAGCCATGAGCTTGCCATTGCTCTGGAATTCCAGGTGGTCCTCCGCACCCCACAGCTCGGGGGCCAGGGCAAGCAACTGTGAGAATACTGCAAACTGGGAGGACAGCATCTGTACTGCGCCCTTTGAGGGGGCCCAGGGACTCCACTGCTCCCCCAGAGACAGAAATGCCCTTTCCAGGGAACCCCTGAGGTCAGTGAGTTGGAGCGGAGTTTCCCCGGGAGACAGGAGTCTGCACTCAGCAGTAGTGAGGTCTCCCTCACTGCAGGTGTCTGAGCAGGAGATGAGGAACTTGACAGAGTCCCAGGACTGGCTCCCTGAGGAGTACCTCCCACCGCCACCATTCGCCCCTGGATACTGCTAGAGAAAGGTCCGCCTTGTGCCTGGGACTGCCCGCCCTCGGATCCCCTTCCTTGTTGCCTGCCACTGTACCACAGTGTACCACACCAGTGTGCCTGCAGGAAACTGGGAAAGAAATAAAGATGTTTCTTGGATTTGGTTCTGCACCAACAAATGACCTGGTTATTTCAGTCACCGTTGTCAGAGTAACGGCAGTGATGTGGGGTACCGACTATGTGCCTGGCCTCTGAGTTCGTTAATTTTTTTATGCTGCTGAGCAGACACACCGGGTCAGCCCTTTCTCTGCATTTTCTAAGGGAGTGTGAGACTCAGGGAGGAGAAAAGTTGTGCCCAATCTGTGTTCCTTCCACATGTCACCTGTTCTCTGGGCAAAGACCCCACGGCAGGAACCCTTGCCGGCTGGAGTCTTACCTGGGCTGCACGTTGAGTATGTTTGTATCTGTAAATAGGCCCTTCTTCCCAGGTGCTGGTGAAGAGGTGAAGTGTGTCGAGAGCTTGGTGCAACGTAAGGGGCTCTGGGCATCTTTACTGTCAGCATTAGCAGACACGTGGAGCAGATAGCAGTGTTGTGTGGGGATGTTTATGGAGCTGCTGGACTGCTCCGTGCCTGTTTCCTCATCTTGGAGAAATTGTGATAAAGAGCAGTTCCTTCTTGGCAGCATAAGGGGTCAGAATATGTGTAGACTCAATAGTTTGCACTTAACTACTAATGGAAAGCTTAGCCATTCAAAGATGTAAATAGGTTTGATTTGTGTCCCCAAAAAAGATAAATCAAAGACATAACCCCTGTACTTGTGAATGGGACCCTGTTTGAAAAGAGAGGTTCTTTTTGCTATATTAATGAGGTCACGTGGTAGTCAGTGGGCCCTAAACCTAATCCCTTCTGAGTTGGTGTCCCATGAAAAGACACTGACACACAGATACACACATGCAGAGAGAAGCATGAGACAGTGAAGGCAGATATTATCTATAAGCAGCAAGGGGACCCTAAGAATTTCAGTAATCACTAGAAACCAGGAGAGAGGCCCACACAGGAATTAGGCTGGCCAAGACCCTGATTTGGGCTTTTTGCCTCTAGAACTGAGAAAAGAGATGTCTGTTCCTTAATGCCACTCACTTGTATTTTGCGGGGAGCATCCTAGGAGACTTGACAGGACACTTAGTAACAACAGGAGACTAAGACAAACAAAAATCAAATCTGTGTCGCCGAGTGGACTCAGCTCATGGATATGAGTAAAACTGAGCGCCACAGGGTTATCTTGGCTGTAATCTTAATGAAAACAGATCACCATGGCAACACTAGGTGGCTTTAAACTGCCAATCCTTCAGTTAGTAAATGAGCAAAAACTATTTGCCTCACCCAGGGAATTAGGAAATGAAGACAGTAAGTACTTAGTAAACCAAGATGATGTTGTTAAATGCCATCATGTTGGTTCCAACTCAGCGATCCTGTATAAGGTTTCCAAGGAGTGACTGGTGGGTTGTAACCACCAACCTTGTGGTTAGCAGTTCAGTACTTTTCCTAAGGGTTAGGATGGGAGAGAACATTCCAGAAATGACCCACAGTGGGGGCGTTTAGGAAGGTTCTTGGGGGCTGGTCTCAGTTGCAGAAGCAACCATGTCTCAGACTGGTTGGGACCCTATAGGACTCCCAGGGTGATGCTGGGTGGAATGGTATTGGCCTTCCCAAATGCACAAGGTGTAGGTGATCTGGGAGGTTCCTTGAATAGTGCAAATGGTTTGTATTCAATTACTAACAAAAAGGTTGGTAGTTCAAACCCAGCAATCAGTGCTGCAGAAGAAAGGCCTGGCGATCTACTTCTGTAAATATTACAGCCAAGAAAATCCTACGGAGCTGTTTTACTGTGTAACACATGGGGTCACCATCAGTCGGCATCCACTGGAGGACAGCAGGTTTTGTTTGGGTTTAATGGCCTGGAGTCTGGAGTGAGGTGGTGCTGTTGGAAATGCCTTGCAGTGTGGCCTTGGGCCTGACTCTTCCTCTGCTGACCCTGCAGAATGGCATCGGTTCTGTATGGGTTTTTCAGACACCGTCAAGTGCTGTACCCGTCTCAGTGAATGACATTCCCACCACTTCCATAGAGACCCCTGGGAGCTAGGGTGTATCTGTATAGAGTCAAGATTTTTATTTCTTGGAGGGATTCAGGGGTTGAAAGGAAAGGCAGTGGGGGCTCAAGCTTTTGGAGTTGGGGTACCAGCCTTGAGGGGCCCTGAAGGAAGACAGTGTGAGTCTGAGCTCAGTGCCTTATCTGTGCCCACAGAGACCCAGAAAAGCAGTGTCCACACCAGGGTCACACAGTGGGGCTGGGGATGAGAATCCAGGCTCCTTTAGCCCACCTGCCAGGTGGAAGGGAGAAGACACATCCTCTCAGCAGGTGTGATAGAGTGACATGTTTATTTCTGGAGACCAGAGTCCACTGTGGCCTGGGCACTGCCGCTCCTCCAGCCTCCCTCAGATGCGGATATGGAAGGTGCTGCATGTAACGAGAACAGCAGTTAGTGTCTCAGACAGAGCAGACCCCCATTCCTCCTCCACAATACTCCTGTGGAATATCTCCAAGTACATGGGGTATGGGAGATAAGTTTTCCAGGAGCCCCAGACGGATACCCTCCTGACCCCACAGGATGCACATTTTTTTGCAACAGAGTCTGCATCACGACTCCACCCCTGATTTGCTGTGGATCTCTGAGCAAGTGGCTCTCCCTCTCTGGGCTTCAGTTTACATCTCTGTACAAGGGGGATAACAACCATGATGAGGATTCTGGGGAAAAGGCTCAGGGTGGGTACACAGAAGGTCCCCATCTGAGTGGGAGGCTTCTCCTAGCTGTTATTGTGAGTTGTAAGGTGATAGATACTATGTTCCCTAAACTCAGCCTTTGTAAACCTGTGGAGCCCAGTTCTGCTGGGTTGCCATGAATAAGGATAGCAACTGTAGGATATGTTTTCAGCACAAACACAGGGCACATCACTAATAATAAAAACAACAGTAACAGGAGTAAGCACTTCTGAGTGCCTGTGCTGTATCAGGCCCCGCTTTAAAATCTTTGGACTCTGAAGTCAGTTAGCTCTTTCTTTAAAGGTTCAGGTTGCAAGTATTTCTGACTCTGCGTGCCATAAGGTCTCTGTTGCAACCATTCAACCCTTCTGTCATAACACGTAAGCAGCCGTAGACTATACATAAGCAGATGGATGGGCCATGTGCCAGGAAACTTTATTTATGGACATTGGAATTTGAATTTCATATCATTTTCATGTGTTGTGGAATCATATTCGTCTTTTGATTTTCTTCAATCATCTAAGACTGGAAAAACCATCCTTAGCTTGAGAGCTGTACAAGAAGTAGTAGGCAGGATGTGGCCCAGGGGCTGTAGTTTGTCGGCCCCTGTATTAATGTAGTTAACCGTTGCTATCAGCCCTATTCATGGCGACCCATTGGTGCAGAGTAGAACTGCTCATAGGGTTTTCTGGGCTCTAATCTTTATGGAATCCTGGTGTGGCACTGTGGGCTAATGTGTCAGACAACAAAGTCGTTTGAACTGTCAGGTCGGTGGTTCAAGCTCACCAGCTGATCCTTGGAAACCCTATACAGGATCACTATGGATCAGAATCGACTCGACGGCACTCAACAACAGCAACAATGTTTATGGAGAGGAACAGAGCCCTGGTGTGGTACTGTAGGATAGGCAATCAACATCAACCATAATAACGTCTGTTTGAACTGCAAGGTCAGTGGTTCAAACTCACCAGCCACTCCTTGGAAACCCTATACAGGATCTCTATGAATCGAAACCAAGTCAACGGCACTTAACTACAATAATGGTTATGGAAGTAGACGGTCAGGCTTTTATTCTGAGGTACCACTGGATGGGTTCAAACCGTCAACCTTTAGATTAGTTGTTGGTAAGTGCTCTGGAGTCAGTTCTGACTCATGGCGACCCTGTATAGGGTTTCCGAGGAGTGGCTGACGGTTTTGAATAGCCGACCTTGTGGTTAGCAGTCCAGTGCCTAGCCTATAGTGCCACACCAGGAGTCCTAGATGAGTATAAACCATTTGTACCAAGGTCCTTCTTGGAATCAGCTTGACAGTAACGGGGTTGCTTGTTGGTTTGTTTTCTTAGCCCTACAGGAATCCTTGGCTGAAGCAAATGGCTAACATGCTTGTCTACTAATGAAAGGTTTGGAATTTCAGTCCACTCAGAGGCACCTCAGAAGAAAGATCTGACAAGGTGCTTTTGAAACATCAGTCATTGAAAACTGTGTGGAGTAAAGTTCTACTCTGACACACATAGGGTCTCCACAAGTCAGAGTCAATTTGATGGCAGAACTAGTTTCTGGTTTGGTTTGGATTTTTACATCAGCCCTATGATGGGGACTCTGATTTTGCTCAGAGTGGCCAAGTTCAGTGGCACAGTCTGTTGACTGTCAACTGTTCAGGCAAATGAGGGTTGAATTCACCCACAAAGCTGTCTGCACCCATCAGAACTGCCTTTTTCTCATTCCATGTGCCCCAGAAGTCGATTACCCCCAGTCGATGCTGACACATAGTGAGCGACCCCATGTGTACAGAGCAGCAATGCCCTATAGGGTTTCTGGGCTGTCATCTTTATAGAAGCAGATCATCAGGGCTTTTTCTCTAGTGCTGCTGGCTGGGCTTGAACCACCAGCCTTTAGATAAGTAAACAAGTACAATGGTGTGTGCCTGCCCAGGGACCTTAGGAGAGTCCTTAATCATCCCCATCTCACAGATGAGGACACTGAGACCAGGGAGGTTGGAAGAGTTCCCCACGGGCTCCAGAGCGGCACCTGAGAAAGTCGGGTGCCCGCAGGATCATGTTCTGGAAGTCTTCCAGGGACAGGCGTCCATCATGGTCTCCGTCCGCCTCGTCCAGCACCTTTTCACACACCAGGCTCACCTCCTCAGCGCTGAGCTCCCCCCGCGTCAGTCTGGTCACCGTCTGCTCCAGGTCCCATGCACAGATGTAGTCATCATTGTTGAAGTCTGTGGGATGGGTGGGACCATAGGCAGCAAGCAGGCGGGGCTGGTTCATCTCCATTTTAAAGAGGCGGGGAACTGAGGCATGAGGAGGTCAGCCAAGACCCTGCAGTGGAATCTAGATCTTGCTTTGGGATTAGCCAAGGATTTTTACCAAGTATGTGTTGAGCATTTACTATGTGCTCGGCGCCATGATGAAAGTTTTCTCCTATTTATTTATCCATTCATTCATCAAGCCTTTATTGAGTACCTCCCTACTAGTGACAGGAACTGCAACAACTGTTTTTCATTCATTCATTCATTCATTCACTCAACGACATTTATACGACATTTATTAATTCAGTAAGTGTTAATTAAACCTCTACTATGTGCCAGGCATTTTTCTTTCACTTGTTCGGTAAGTATTTACTGAGAACCTACTATGTGCCAGGCACTTCGATACCTGTTTTACATTAGTTCATCCACTAGGCACCGGGGACAATTGATGGACAAGATAGACATGTCACTGCCCTTAACTGTCATCAGACAGAATGTCAATAAGAAGTGAACAGATTAATGAACAAGCCATTAACCAGCATTGCACTGTGTCAAGAGAGAAATAGGATCAGGGGCTAGAGCGTGACTGGGCAAAGGGCTACTTTTAACAGGGACCACTGGGGGAAGACCCTCTGAGGAGGAAGCATTGAGCCTAGCCTTTGAGGAGAAGAAGGGTCAAGGCAAAGGTGTTCTGGGAAGAGGGGAAGTTCCACAGGCAGGCACACTCTGGAAGACACAGGAACCGCAAGAAGGTCAGTGTGGCTGCAAGGAAAGGAGCAAGGGCTAAAGTCTAGAAGTATCAGGGTGAGGGGAGAGCCTGTGATGGCAGAGCAGCCCCTCTGAAGATCCAGCCTCCCCCCATTCCCGCCCCATGCTCCCTGCCTTAGGGGCTATGCACGCACCATAAATCTTAAAAGCATAATAGGCTTTGAGATCGCGGGGAGCCATCTCGCTCATCACAGAGAACATATCCAGGAAGTTGTCCAATGTCATGTGTCCGTCCCCATCCTCAGAGAACACCTGGGCAATCCTCTGGCGGAAGGGGTTGTCCTGGGGACAGGATGGAAACCAAGAGCTCCGGGATCTCCTTGTGGTCTCAGTCTCAACATTCACCTTCCCTGGAACCCCCACATGTCCCTCACCAACATGCACTCATTCCTACAGTTCCCAGAGGGAGGACTACAGGCAAATCCACTCCCTGCCCATGTGGTCTGGGCAGTGTTAACCCACTTCTCATTCCAAGGAGAGTAACAGGACCCAGAGCAAGCCAAGCAGAGCATCCCATTCACCCAGCCACCGTGATTGGCTCTGGGATGGGCATGTGACCCAAACTGGCCAATGAGAGGCTGCCCTGGAACAGTCTCTGGAAAATGGGGGTGGAGGACTGCTTTCTGCTGGTTGCAGAGCTGGCAGAAGGAAGCAGGGACCATAGTGACAGGGAGCGCCCCTCACTATCTTGAGAGAAGAAACTGACTGATATTAAAGCTTCCTAGCAGGAACGTAGTGGTTACGAATCGGGCTGCGAACCTTAAGGTCAGCAGTTCGAAACTACCAGCTGCTCCGCGGGAGAAAGATGAGGCTTTCTGCTCCC